CCCCCCCCCTCCCCCCCCCTGCATCCAAAACAAATCCCAAAAACTTTTTATCACTTCAACGTATTTGCAATTTTCTAGATTTTCTTGGCAAATTCAAGTGAAAATATGTATTCAGCCTACTGGTCGAAAAAGAGAAAATTAAATGGTTGTGATCATTTTTATCTAAGAGGGAATGTTCTTCAAAGACGATTGCAATTTTCCTTGATCTCAATAGATGATTGATGTTGAACTTCAGAAGGAACAAAATCTGTTGAACAACAAACACCCAACTTTAAAGACTGTCGGAATAAGTAAAAACGACCATTTCCGTCTCCATGATATGCCACGGGTAGAGCTGGCATTACAAAGAGACCCCTCTCTTTTCTATATTATATCCTATAACAGATAATTAGAAAAAGATCACATCATACTGTCTTCTAATCTGCATACTTCCTATGTCTGTGTCAACAGACCAAAACAAAGTATAAAATAAAAAGTAAACAATTTTAAAGACTAAATTATTTCTGAATTCTTGCCTTTTATTATATAATAGCTGCCTCCCCCTCCCAAAATAAAATAAAAAAGAAAACAGATCGAAACAAAAAGTAGAGATAAATGCTCCTGCAAAATAACTAATTTATGAATGGATATACATGGTATTAATAAAGGGATTCAAATTTCCAAAACTCAAAAAATGAGTAAACTACTGACAAAACAAAACCAAAAGTCTTAAAACCTGTGATACATTATTGTAGAACAAAAAACGTACTCTTTGTCAGCTAATGTGAAAGATTTGGAAAAACAGTCATCATTAACGCACATTTTTCATTTTCTCGGGCTGTAATGAAATCATAATTCTTTGAAAAGTGAGGGGTCTCAATTTGGCGCCACGAGTATATGTATGCGCCATGGCCTGGGTCCAACCTTGGGGATATATCAGAGCCCTGCTGCATGAGCGCGCCCAGCGAGAACCACAAGGTGTTGGAGATGGAGAAGATGGTGGTGGCTGTGCGCTCAGTGGAGTCTTCCACCACGTTCCACTCGTAGGGGCTGTGGGAGAAAGAGAGAGAGGGAGAGAAAACGAAAAAAAGAAAATTGAGTGAAATTGAAAAGAATCATTCTTGTTGCACGTAACATGCATGATGATACATATCATGCGTCTTTAGGGCACAATGCATTTTAAAAAGTTCATATCAAAGCAGTTCTGTGTTTTACATACAGTGCACTATCTTTGAATGTAAAATCATTCATACAACTTTATTTGTAGTCTTGTGGTTAGGCTCCCGTACTTGCAACTGAATGGTTTGGGTTTCAACCATGGTGCAGGCCTTCATTGTGCCCATTGAAAAAAAAAACTTTCACAAATTTTCGTTACATCGTCTTAGTGAGAATTGGTGTCTGGATAAAACAATAAAGGATTTTGTCAGTGTGTTAGTGTCTTGCAACCTGCAAAATGAAAATCTACAGCGAATGCTTCCCATGAAATTGGAAATGTTTTGGAATGTAATCATGATTTGTCAGGGAAATAACAAATGATCTACTTTTAGCAGCTATATTACAATACAACATGAAAGCAATCTATTGTTATAAATACTATCATTATAATTAAGTAGTGTTAGTGGTAGTTGTAGTGGTAGTAGCAGTAGTAGTAGTAGTAGTAGTAGAAGTAGTAGTAGTAGTAGTAGTAGTAGTAGTAGTAGTAGTAGTAGTTGTAGTAGTAGTAGTAGTAGTAGTAGTAGTAGTAGTAGTAGTAGTAGTAGTAGTAGCAGTAGTAGTAGTAGTAGTAGTTGTTGTTGTTGTTGTTGTTGTTGTTGTTGTTGTTGTTGTAGTAGTAAGTTTTTAAAAATTAATAAAGCTATTTTATTCATTATTTTTATTATTACTTGTTGTAAGTACATCTTCAGATATCCTCCACATATAATAAAATGTAAAAAATGAATAATAAATGTCACTTCTTTATTGATTACTCTGGGTAAATACATGAACTTTACCCCCCCCCCCCCTAAAAAAACCCAATAAAAATACAAAAACAAAACAAAAACAAAGCAAAACAAAACAAAACAAAACAAAAACAACCCCACCCCCCAAAAAAAAAATCAACAACAACAAAAATCCCAACAAAACAACAAACAAACAGAAAACAATAAAAGCAACAAAAAACCCCCACCACAACAACAATAAAAAACAGTAAAACAGTATCATAAACATTGATGATGCACACACTGTCGCCATTCATCCGTACGTGCTGTGCTATTTTTGAACTGAGGTTATCTTTAAGGAGACACACCAGTAACTATAATATTGTACCGATTTCTTTTTGTTTGTTTTCCCTATGTTTGTTCTTCTTCATGCGCTACTTGAACTTGTAATTTTTCCCAAATTATTCTTGATTAAAGAAATGTGTGAATTCAAGACGTTCACGAAATGCATCGGAATCCAAATTCAATCGAGGGAGTTAGAGACACTCTTATAGAAAATACAATAACAGTTGATGAATAAGAACCCTAATCTTACCTAAACCTGCCGACAAAATAGAGCACGAAACTGACTGCCAAAAAGCCTAGTCCGATGCAGAGCCAAACTTTGGTGTCAAGTGGGTCCATGAAAGAGAAGACACCTGGTTTGGTTTTGTCTGGCTTCTTGATCATGATGGAGATACCGGTGTTCATGAAGGGTTTGGAGAAGTCCACCACCCGCTCTCGCTCCTCTGTTATGGTTAGAGGAGCCACGGCGATGTCTCGTTCCTGGAACAGCAAAATACAGGCGAGCAGGTTGTAAGCAAAATCGGCAGGATGTGGAAGTCTTTTCGTAATGAAGAAATCTTGTTATGTACTTGTTTTATAAACAAAGAGTGTAATAGGCCTATATGAGAAAAATTGGGACATGACTACCTCTTCACTATGTGCCTGTTTCAGTGTGTGCATGTTCGTTATATATTAGGTGTGCTATAGCTTGTTCACTTTTCTCTGACCGCGGTTAAGACAAGATAAAATGAAATCGCTATGTTTAAATTACTCAGATATTTGCATACGGGTCTAAAAGTTGGATGACCAACAGAATCTTAAAACCCATTCATAAAGGTAACTGCAAACTAAGGTTCCGACATGGTTTTTTTTATGTAAGCCTAAAGAGGGTAAAAAAAAAATAATATGGGATTTTCAGCATACGCCTAAACTATTTAAAGTTTAGTGCTTTTATGAAAAAGAGATTATCCAATCACTCAACCAAATAAACGAACGAACCAACCAACCAACTAACCAACCAATCAATCAATCAATCAATCAATCAGTCAATCAATCAATCAATCAATCAATCAGTCAGTATAACAGTTCATTCATCAATCAATTAAAAAAATTAATCCTCGAATCAATGACAATAAAAATACGACTTAAAAAGGTAGGGTCAGATTGGAGTCACCTTGCGGATGAGTTGTCCTATAAGGCCGGTCCACAAGCCCGTGGAGTAGTTGAAGTCCCCGTACTCGTGTGTCAGGTACACCTGATACAACAGAAACGTGTTGTTGAAACACTGAGACCTCAGGAGTCAAAATATTTATCAAACAAAAACTTGTGAAACTTTCTCTCTCTCTCTCTCTCTCTCTCTCTCTCTCTCTCTCTCTCTCTCTCTCTCTCTCTCTCTCTCTCTCTCTCTCTTTCTTTTTCGCTCTCGCGCGCATTTCATTCCCTTTCTCTCCTATATCTCCCCTTTTGCTCATTTTACAAATATTAACAAACGCACATCCCCGAACCCTTCTTTAGAAACGAACCAGCCCCCCAAAAATAATAACTTGGCACAAATCAGTATACTATGAATTGATGCTGTCCAAACTAGTCCAAGAGGATTATTACAGTACGAAGAAGAAGAATTCACACCCCTTTAGAATGGAATCCACAGCCACTCTATATTTTGTCCAGTTTTGCAAATAACAGCCGGCCTGTACTTTGAAAGTCATTGTGGGTTGTTTTATGCCTTTACACTTCTTATTTAAAGTCCAGAGAAACGTAAGTTGTAAAGAATATAGTGTGCTCTGTTTAGACAAGTAACAGATTGCATTTTGCTTACCTGGTACTCGAAGTTGTCTGTGCGAGCGAGTGCTTCAATCAGGTCAATGCAGTAACCCTCCAAGCCACGATTTGGGCCGTGGGGAGGTGCGCCATTTCTGTTCTCCACTTTCATCACAAACGGTGGTTCCTGACCAAAAAGCAGTGAATGCACAAATTGCCATTTGGAGCTTTGATTTCTATTTCTATTTGAAGTGCACCGATAATATAACGGTTACTTGTTCAAAAAGGAGGACTTTGTAAACAGTAATGTTTATTTGGGTTAATGAAAGATAGCAGGATCAATTAAACCTCAGAAATTTCCTCAAACACAGCTGCGTTTTTTTCCTTTGCCTTTTGCATCCGTTTTCACAACATAATAGTTTATTTGAAGCCTGCAAATTAAGGTGTGAAGTTCATATAGGATACGTTGACACCAAAGCACTTCAAGTTTTTACAAAGGTCAAGATTTTAAAAAACCATCAATGCCTTTCACCCCTGGCAGGGTATAGGCCACATACAAGCTCCTTTTATTTATCTCTGTCCTGAGCCATCCTTCCAAGCTCGTTCCAAGTGAGCTTCATTTCTCTCATGTCCCTTTCCACGCATCTCCTCCATGTTTCCCGTGGCCTACACCTGCCTCGTGCTCCTTGTGGGTTCCACTGCAGTGACTGTCTTGTGATGTTTCCGCTGGGCTTTCTTAAGGTGTGTCCCATCCATCGCCACTTTCTTAGTCCTATTTCTACTTCTATATCCTTTTGTCCTGTCCTTTCCCACAGCTCTTCATTTCTTATTCTATCCAGCCACTTAATTTCTAGAATACTCCTCATACATCTATTAAAAAAATATACGTGCAATATATAATGGACATTTTCACATTAATAAACTGCATTTGCGTCAGGTAGGCAAACGTACTATCTCGCTGATTGAGATGACAGTACGGCTATGAAAAAAATTATATGGTTAATATAAAGGCCCCATTAATTCTTTTGTGATGAAGGAAACATATCTTCTTCAAGTACTGAATGAATAACAAACTTTCATCTTCTTTTTATGTTTTATCGCTTACTCATCACTCATCACACTCCTGGCCAGAAGTGAGCGCAACATAATCTGTAACAGGCGCTTCTGTGTTTACAACAGTACTTACTATGAGGGTTGCGACTCTTTGGGTAGTGTTTTCAATCAGAATTTCTGGCTCAAAAGTTTTGAATGAACTCTCCCTCAGATCCTCGGGGTGCCATGTCTCGATCTGAAAAGTAAATAAAAACCCTGAACTCCTATCATTTCAATAAAAAAAGAGAATGTTCAGAGTTGTCAAAACACAAGAACTTGTCAATTTTTAAACTAATTTTTGGCACATTTTATGTAAAAATCCACATGGGTGCCAAGGTGACGTTCTAAGCATAGGATAGATTTTTTTTAAAATATGAGTATCACGTTTTCTCAAAGATCTTGTCCCTGTGTAAGTTTCACACCAGGTCTTATATTCACAGTTATGTCTCTCCAACACCCAACTACCAATTTCTACTGACGTTCTTCACACCAGGTTTCCTTCACTACTTTCGTGTACAAATGGTTTTAACAAATTGTGACGGGACCGTTTAAATTGAACATCTAATAGAAGATTGTTCCGTTATTGAAGCTAGAGATGCTTGGTAAAGAGGAGGAAACGATCTGTAGCTCAGAAGGTCTAGATTTCAGATGGCGCAATAATGTTGTTGTTCGTAAAACGCTAAAGGTAACAACAACAACTACCACAGCAGCAATAAAATAACACCAACAACAATAACATATACACGTATTGTGTTTTAGGAGCAAAGCAAATGACATTTTAGCCCTTATCATTCGCAACTTCAAAGCCAGCAAATATAATTTATCTTTTTACAAAAATTAATTCAACAGCCATATTGATATTCTTTTTAAAATGTTTAATCCATTGTATTATTCAGATGTCTGACAGGGGAATGAATTAATACTATATTGAAAAAAAAACCCTCAACAAAACCATAGGGACACATTATATTATTAAAATGTGATTATTCGTTCGTTATCTTTATTCAAAATTGCGTTGTCTGGCTTGTCTGTCTGCTGCAATCTCCCTTCAGAATTCCCCCTGTTGTGCTGATGAAAATTTTTTTGTAACTGCATCCGGCGTTAATTCTTCTTAAGCAGTGTTGTTGTTTTTTTTAATCCGCCAGCTCACAAGTTTACAAGTTTATAAGCTTTTCTTTTTCTACACCTCCAGCTTTACCAGTATATCTATTGTCGTCCTTATTTCACGTCTGTTAACGTCTGCAAAATTGTGAGGTTAAGCTCATATCTGTTCACTGCTGGATTTTCTGAATGATACAACTAAAGAGCCCAAAAAGAGGTATGTGGCACGGCAGAGAAGACACGAAGAGAAAGAGAGAGAGAGAGAGAGAGAGAGAGAGAGATAGAGATAGAGAGAGAGAGAGATAGAGAGAGAGAGATAGAGATAGAGAGAGAGATAGAGAGAGAGAGAGAGAGAGAGAGAGAGAGAGAGAGAGAGAGAGAGAGAGAGCGTGCACATGGCGGAGGTTTTATTAGTTTTGTTTAGTTAAAACAACGTCTGTATAGTTCTGTTCTCGCCGGGTCACCATCAAATTGTGTCTCTGAATTATAAATATAATATGACAGCAATAGTCTTTATGGTGGTTTTTGGAATTGCATTGTTCACATCAATAAATTTCTCATTTAAAATAGAGAGAAACATAAACTGGAAATAACATTGTTTGTTAAAGTTTTCATGTTTATAGGAAAACGTAATTGCAATAATCAGCTCATTGAATAAGTGTGAGTGTGTGTATGTATGTATGTGTGTGTGTGTGTGTGTGTGTTTGTGTGTGTGTGTGTGTGTGTGTGTGTGTCTGTGTGTGTGTGTGTGTGTGTGTGTGTGTCCGTGTGTGTGTGTGTGTGTGTGTGTGTGTGTGTGTGTGAAGCAAATTAAGGCTTCTCTG